GGGGGGGGGGTCATAAACCAGAAGTGGCCTTCCTTCTACTTGGAGAGTGATGCCTTCCCTTAATGAAGTGATTCTTAAACCTCCAACCTTGGTGTGCAAGAGAATCATCTGGAGAGTTTGTTAAAAAGGAGATTCTCAGACTCGAGCCCCAGAGATTCAGATTCAGTAGGTCTAGAGTGGGACCCAGGTGATGCTGACACATTTGCTCAAAGACTGCATTTTAAGGAAATGTACTTCTTTTACTTACCTGTCCAGCTCTCCTGAGAAATGTCTTTTCCTAGGTATTAAAGTAACTAACATATTAGATTTATATACAATGCATTTGAAAGACATTTGGTCAGCATTATTTGGCACTGATCACTCTGCAGTACTGGAAAAATGGAGCTTACCAAATACCAAGTTAAGTTCTATGCTGATCTATTGTACAGGATCTGTCTTCTAGGATTTATCAGGATAATATTCCCAAACATTCACTCATCTGGCTCTTTCCCTCTTGGCAGGATCTCCCAGCCATCCAGCCCCGGCTAGTAGCAGTCAGCAAAACCAAACCTGCAGACATGGTGATTGAGGCCTACAGTCATGGCCAGCGCACTTTCGGAGAGAACTATGTAAGAGCCCTTTACCAAACTGCCTTTCGAAGAGTCATTTTGCCACACTTCTGACTTGTCTTTTTCTACCCTTTAGGTTCAGGAATTGCTAGAAAAAGCATCAAATCCTAAAGTAAGTAGATATCTGAATTCTTGAATTTGTATCTAAATCTTGGCATTTCAGTTGAAAATTAGACCCATGTTGGTGGTTGAGTTTTAGAGCAGGAGGTTGGGCTGCAATAGAAATGTCTACATTCACCTTCAGCTCCCAATATTTCTCAGTTAGGTTTTCTTTCTTTATTAAGATTATAACTTTCTCCTTTGTAATTTTTTGAAAATGGTGATTTCTAAGAGCTTGCTGTAATCCTGGATCCTTTTGAGATTTGAAAGCTTTTATAAGTTCATTCTTTTCTTTTTAAAGGATTTTTTTTAATCCTCCCTTGAGGATATTTTTCTCTATTGCTTTTCAGAGAGAGTAGAATGGGAGGGGGGAGAGGGAGAGAGGAAAGGAGAAACAAACATCGATGTGAGAGAGAAACATCAGTTGTTTGCCTCCTGCACATGCCTGGGGATCAAGCCCACAACCAAGGTATATGCCCTTGGCTAGAATTGAACCCAATACCCTTTGGCCCAAGGGCCGACGCTCTAACCACTGAGCAAGCTGGCTAGGGCTAATCAGTTCATTCATTCATAATGGGCAATATCTGAAAGATGGAGGGAGTTGATGGGAACAAGGAAAAGTAACAGAACAGAAGCCTTAGATGTTTTTCTAAGCATCTGTAGGAGCCTGGCTGAAGGTGATGGTAGTGCTTTATTGCATACACATGAAAGGTGAGATGGGAGTATGCAAAGTATTTGAGCTATCTAGGCCTCTGTAAAATCTACATTATTGTTACCTTTTTCTCTTCAGATTCTGTCTTCCTGTCCTGAGATTAAATGGCACTTCATCGGCCACCTACAGAAACAAAATGTCAACAAATTGATGGGTAAGATAAACTCCAAATATGATCATTTGGTTTTTCTTTTTTAGTTTGTTAACATGTTGAGTTACACTTACTGATTTTCAAGTGTTAAATCAGCCCTTCATTCCTGGGGATAAACTTTGCTTGGACATGAAGTATTATCCTTTTAATATAAATTTGCATTTGATTTGTTAGATATTGCTTAGAATTTTTGCATCTATATTCACAAGGGACATTGGTCTTATAGTTTTCTTTTCTTGAAATGTCTTTATTTGGGTTTCATATCAAGGATAAATGCTGGCCTCATAGAATGAATTGGGAAGTATTCCCTCAAGTCTTTTGGAAGAGTTTGTGTGGAATTAGTATAATCTCTTCCTTAATCATATGGTAGAATTTACCAGTGAAGCCTGGAGTTTACTTTATGGGAAGATTTTTAACTATAGTTTCAATTTCACTAATAGATATAGGGCTATTCACATCATCTGTTTCTTCTTGAATGAGCTTTGGTACTATGTGTCTTTCAAGGAATTTTTCCATTTCATCCAATTAATGAATTTATGGGCATAAGGCTGTTTGTAATTCCCTTTGTTATCCTTTTAATATCTGTAGTCTGTAATGATGTCAGCTCTCTCATTCCTGATATTAGTAATTTTTGTCTTCTCTCTTTTTTCTCCTAGTCTATCTGGCTAGAGGTTTGTCAATTTTATCAGTCTTCTCAAAGATTGACTTTATTTATTTTTCTCTATTGTTTAATTATAATATGTTATGTAAGCAAAAATAATGATGTATTGTGGGATTTATAACATGTAAAGGCAACATACATGACAACAATAGCATAATGAATGGAAAGGAAGAAACAGAAGTTCACTATTATAAGGTTCTTAAACATTATGTGAAGCGGTATACCACTTAAAAGTAGACTGTGGCCCGGCCAGGCGTGGCTCAGTGGTTAAGCGTTGACCTAGGATCCAGGCGATCAGGGTTCGATTCCCGGTCAGGGCACATG